CCAGCTCGCAGAAAGTGGACGCAGCACCTTGCGAAAGTGCTGCGCCTGCCACGAAATCTGTACTCGACCTCGCGAAAGTGCTGCGCCTGCCACGAAATCTATACTTGACCTTGCGAAAGTGCTGCACCTGCCACGCAATTCAAACCTAGCGAAACCTTCGCGCGGCCGTGCCAATGGTCCCGTCTCCGAGACCGTTCCGAGACCGTTCCGAGACCGTTCCGGGACCGTTCCGAGACCGCCTCCGCACAGGCGTCGCGACCGAGGTGGTTTGCGCACTGTCCGGAAGCCCAATTCACGCATGGCACCAACGTTTCTGCAACTTGCTATCCCCCAGCTCGCATAAAGTGGACGCAGCACCTTGCGAAAGTGCTGCGCCTGCCACGAAATCTGTACTCGACCTCGCGAAAGTGCTGCGCCTGCCACGAAATCTATACTTGACTTTGCGAAAGTGCTGCACCTGCCACGCAATTCAAACCTAGCGAAACCTTCGCGCGGCCGTGCCAATGGTCCCGTCTCCGAGACCGTTCCGAGACCGTTCCGAGACCTTTCCGGGACCGTTCCGAGACCGCCTCCGTACAGGCGTCGCGACCGAGGTGGTTTGCGCACTGTCCGGAAGCCCAATTCACGCATGGCACCAACGTTTCTGCAACTTGCTATCCCCCAGCTCTCCGGATTTCAGCTTTTCTCGTAGCTTTTTTCGCGCACATCCATGTATCTTAAAGCTATCTATCTGTCAAGCTGGTTATATGTCAAAGCTATCTATCTGTCATGCTATTCTTTGGAAAGCTATCTATGTGTTAAGCTGGCTATATGTCAAAGCTATCTATCTGTCATGCTGGCCTATTGGAAAGCTTTCTATCTGTCAAGCTAGCTATATGTCAAAGCTATCTATTTGTCATGCTAGCTACCTGTCATAGCTATATGTCAAAGCAGCTAGCTCATTTAGTTCCAGTACTACGGAAGTTTCTTGTTAAACTTCCTTTGATGATGGCAGGCCTGGCCAAAGCCATCGCTGTGTCACTCGCAGCGCCGGGGCACATCCGGATCCCCTCACAATTTCCGGGAAACCCTAAGGAACCACCTAAGGGGCGGGGGTCGGACCCCCCGGAAGGCCATTCCCCCCGGGGAAAACGGGGGCCCAGTCAAGGAGGCGGTCCCTCCTCATCACACCAGGGCTCAAAGCCCGGAGGCAAGAACGCCCCGAAGCCCCGCCTGCACGGGCAGTTCCACCCTGAGGCAGACACCGTGGAACAATGAACCCAGACTTCCCATCTCCCATGCCCCCGATGGCCGGAGATGCGGAACAACTGGGGAAGGAGGGACAGGGGGACCAGGTCCTGGACCGCCCCGAATGCCTGCCCGCTTTCAGGGTCCCACACCTCACTGACCGGGTGGCGATTGTCCAACCCTGAGGGATGGGGGGGGGGAAAACCTTTGTGAGGGAGGCTCAACCCCCCTTTTCGGAAAATTTCCCCATTGGCTACTTTGGGCGCCCTGATCATGACCCTTACCCGGCCCTGGATTGACAAGGTCCGAATGTCCCTGGCATCAGGTGCCACCACACACCCCTTCCAGGAAGCCGACCTCGAGGAGCTGCGGGCTATCCTAGGACCGAGGCACCTCCATGAACGATGCCCAGGACAACCCTTCCTCCTGGACTTAGTGTCGCACTTGGCATCCCTTTCAGGTGACCCTGATTGGGAGTTCCCCCTAACACTGAAAGAGGGGGTCCCCTTGGAGTCTCGGACCCTACCTTGACCTCCCCGGGAGTTTGGCCCACTAAGGAGGAGCTTAAGGGAGAAGCCTGGCTGGGGGAAGATCCCCCCCCGCCAGTGGCTCATGATAACTACCCAACGGCTGAACTCTTTGCCAAGGAAATCGAATCAACCTTTTACGAGGAACGAGCCTTGGACATGGTGGACGGGCCCTTCACTCGCTCCGAGGCGGCAGAGAGGTGCCGCTGCAAACCGGAGGAACTTTGCCCGGGCCCCCTTGCAGGGATTGATGAGTCGGACAAGATCAGGACGATCTATGATGGCTCAAAAGGGGGAGCAAACGCACACATCCAGGCTCACACGGAGGAGAAGACCACCGCACCGATGGTTGGAGACTGCCTCCATGCCATCCACTGGCTCAGGACAGCGGCGGACCATCCTCATCTACTCCGAGCCCCATCCTCGGGCACTGATGAGGAACCTCGGGATGTTCACCAGCCGGTGCAGGGGCAGAGAGGGACCCCCACAGCACCAGCCTGCCCCCAGGTGCCGAGGGCCCTGATAGGGGCAGGCGGATGATGGAGACCTCCGGCGGCCTGGACGTCTCTCCGCGGTCAACACCCTCAGGGAAGGGGCCACTCCCAGGTGCCGAGGGCCCTGATAGGAGGGCCCCATTCCCCCCAACCCCCCAGGCACGGAACGCCCTGGGGGGAGCAGGGGGGAACCCCTGACGTGGCAGCCGCCGACACAGGGGGAAACCTTCATCATCCTCAAGGCGGATGTCACCAAGGCCCACAGGCGCATAAAAGTGCTCCAGAAAGACTGGAAATACCAGGTGGCCTGCATCCAGAACCGGTGGTGGGTCAATAGAGTGGGCACGTACGGCATGGCCTCGGCACAACTGTACTGGGGAAGAAAGGCATCCTTGGTGCTCAGACTCTTGTACTACATCTTCCCTCAGGTGGACTGGCACTTAGTCTTTGTGGACGACTACTGCTGGGTCCTCAGATGCAGCAGGGCGGACTGGGACGCCACAGCCATCCTGGCCACTCTTCTGGCGCTGGGAGTCCCGCTTTCTTGGAAGAAGACGGCGCTCTCCCCGGTCAATACCTGGTTGGGATTCGTGGTGGACCCAATCACGCCCTGTGTGCTGCTGGCTCCAGTCAAGCACGTCATAATCCTGGCCACTCTCAAACGGCTGGCCCAGGGGGACATCTTTACCAGCAAGGAGGTGGAACAAGCCCTGGGCCGGATTCAATGGGCTACTTCGGCGTGTCCATTGACGAAACCTTTCCTCCAGCCCTTTTGGAGCTGGAAGAAGGCCTGCACCACTTCGGGCAGGCCACCGAAGCTGGTTCGTGCTCTGGCCATCCTTCTGGGGAAGCTCTTCAACCAGAGGTTCCCACTGGCATCTCCATTTGCTCCCACACTTCCATGGACGGGGGCATCTGATGCGGGAGCTGGCAAACAGGCGGACCATGCATGGGTTGGTGGTTGGTGCTCGGACGTGCCCAACCCCGACAAGTCCCGAGTGAAGTGGTTCCAACACAGAATCACACCGGAGGGCGAGCCGTGGGCCTTCACTACTGGGGACCCGCAGCGGGCGATAGCGGCCTTGGAGCTCTTCGGCCTCCTCCTTTTGGTGAGGGCTGTTCTGCTTTGTGCAGCCGGCTCGGCTTCTCACACTAGGATTCTGGTTGCTAGTGATAACCAGGGAAACGTTTTCTCCCTGCTTAACGATTCCACTCGCAGGATGCCCAATGCGGCCATCCTCATGGAAATTGTGTTAACACTGCATGACCACCAGGTCATGTTAGGACCGTCGCATGTGAAGCGCGACTTTAACACATGGGCGGATGAACTTACTCATCCGGACCCGCAATTTCCGACTGAGAACCGGGTCTTCCCCTCAGTCGAAAGCGAATTGATCAAGCTGATCTTCGCTACTTTCCTTCCTCACCCATGATGCCGGGAGGGCATCCGGTGAGGTGGGAGGATTCCTCCTGAGGGGAGCTGCCCAGTGGAGCTGGGCAATCCTCCCATTTTGGCACTAATCCTTATGCGGCGTAAAGGATGCACCGTTTTGCGATTAAGGTACCAGTAGCACCAATGTGGTGCTTTGAAGAGTCACAGGGAAATCATCATTCGAGGGTTTCTTAGGTGGTGCAGGATTTCGTCCATCCACAGTATCACAAGCAGCATGAGCAAAACTAGTGAATAATGCTGTGCCATTGTGCGATGAACACGCGTCACACTGACAGCGGGGTCCCTGCATCTTTCACTTTTCGCAGGTTCCATGTTGGAGAAGAGGATGCTGGGCGATCAATAGATTGCTCTGCCTGATATGTCAAAAGTCCCTGCGCGCAGTTGATGTTTGAACATCCTGCACCTTGATTGGCCTTCGTAACCAGCGATGGAGGTGACAGCCAGGCAAGACCGCAGGCTTTGCCAAATAGAAGCAGCCTGGATGGATCAAGACAGCGCAGACAATAACACAAACACGAACACTCATCATAATCAGTCACGACAAGACTCAACCAAAGCAAACTCAACTCAGTCAAGCACAACCAGTTCATGAATCGATTTGCCTATTAGATATCTATGTGCGTTTATGTGCACATTCTTTTGGTATTTACATATGCGTTTAGGTGTCTATTTGTTTTGGTTGATGTGTGGCCTGCAGGCGGAAAGTATTATCACCATCAACCTGCTGGCCATCATCTTCCTGGTCTCTGTAGACCTGGTCTTTGCCTCTGAGAGGGCCTCAGCAGCTCGGCCTGGCGGTGGCGCTTGCGGGTGGCGCGGGTGGTGCGGGGGTTGCTCCCCATGGAAATGGGAAGCCAAGAGCGGCACCAAACCCGACAAACACCTGTTTTTGTTTTTTTGGTGGGAGGGGGGGGCGCGTGGTGGGTGGGTGGGGGGGGGGGGTGACGACCTTTGTTCTTGCGGGGAGCTGGACTGAAAGGGATGCCGATATACATATATATATATATATTATACTTATTTGAGGGGGGGGGGGGGATGGGTGTGTCTTTCTTTGTGGGTACGTGTACAAGGGATGCTATAAACAGGAACCAAAGGAACACCCGAAATCCTTTTTGGCGTCCCCCTATTTGAAGACAACCCCAAATGAACATGGACCGAAAAAGGGAGGTCCATTTCCCAAAAAGAGATGCTTCTGCAAATGATGGTTTTTGGATTCCACGTTAACCTGCAGGGGAGTGGCTCAATAGGTGGTCTTTAACAAGGGAGATTCCCTCAAAAAGACGCGGCGTGTTTTTGTTGGGTGCCTTTTGTTAATCTGCAGGAGGATAAGTAAGACTGGTTGTTAGAGCAAGAGCCTCATACGAGTTACTCGCGTTTCCTTTACGCGTGGATCGGTTGCACTGCCGTTCGGTGGCCACTGAGGACATGGCCACCTCGATACTTGGCAGCAGAACATGAACAAGTTCTTTGGCCCCCTAACGCCTTTCTGGTCCGACATGGGTGCCGTTTTTGACAGGCAGACGATTGGTTCTCTTGGCTCTTGGTGAACCCAAGAGACCCATGCGAGCTGGAAGAGTACGTCCGGGGTCGGCTTTTGTGGTGCACCACTCCCTGCCTGTGCCCCCACCCAAAATTCCGTTTTTTGACTACCCCAAAGACGACTTGAACCCAGGGGTGGTTGATGTCCCCAAAAGTTAAACCCCTGGGTTTCAGTCGACCTTGGGGTAGTCAAGAAACGGAACCCTGCCCCCTGTTTGAAGTTCCAAAGCTTCGGGCTTCGCGTCTCCGAGGACTCTGCTGGATGCCTGGTCGCAGCTCAAGACCAAAGTGGTGGATATCATGGCTCCGGACAAGCCGGTGCCCGGGCAGCTCCAGGTAGATGTGTGTGTGTGTGTGTGGGTGGGCTGCTAGTGGATGTGGGTGTGGCACTTTTGACCATTTTTTAATGATGCAACGCTGCTGCACGCCAAGCTGTGTGTGGTTTTACCACGAGGGTCAGCTGACATGTTCGCGGAGAATGTTGCTTGAGCAAAGCCAAAGAACAAGAGGGCAGGTCTCACTCCCTGATTTCCTGGAATTTAACAACTTTTTGGGAGGACCATTCTGAGTCAACTGGTGGACTCAATGGGCAAAAGGAAACGCAAGGAGGATGTTTTGCCCCTTCCCATCAAACTTGACCTGTGCCTTGCCATTTTGTAAGTTAAGTGGGGATGTATGGACATCATGTCTGCTTGGAAAAGACCCCCCCCCCCTTTGGGCTAAAAAGGGGAGTCCCTAAAAGTATCGCAGCCCTCGAGAGACGCATTCCCTTTGCCTTAAACCGCGGTGGGGGGGGGGGGGGTGAACAGCCGGGTCGGACCAAGTCACCATTACAAGTTCAAGCCACATTGTTCGACCGGTGTTGTGGCTTCCAGGCATGGTTTGCTTGTTCAAGCAAATGGGTGTGTCTTTTTTGCAGGGAGCCCCCGAAAATGGTTGTTTTCCTTTTGGTTTCACCTTAAACAGCCCAGAAAGGGCACCCTCAACGAAAAAGACACTCACATATTGTTCAATCAGGGGGTCAACAGCCGGGTTGGACCAACCCACCGTTTGAACATGTACCCACATTGCTCAACCGGCCTCCGTTTGGCTTCCCATCATCTGGTGCAAGCACATGGGCGGGTTTGTTCTTTCACAAGACAAAAGAGAGGAGCCACTCAGTTGGATGCTTGGGGTATGGTTTTGAAGATAGCCCCCCTCCCCAAAACTTCATGGCCTGTGGTGTCCATTGGCTGGGCCCAGGTGTGTTTCAGCAGCTCAGACCTGAAGGACATCTTGGCCCGGGCTGAGAGCCTGGCGCTGAGGGTAGAGAGAGGTGGGGCTGTGGGTTTGTGGGGCTGTGGGGCTGTGGGGCTGTGGGGCTGTGGGGCTGTGGGGCTGTGGGTTTGTGTGGAGTGGAAGTCGGGGGGCGCTTGGGCTTGGGAGGGTCCGGCAATGTCAAGAGCCTCCGGGCCCTTGGAGCGGAGTGGAGTTAGGAGGGTTGGCTGCAGAGGGTTTTTGCAAGATGGCCACCTTCAGAAAGGCATGTCATACTTGTGTTTTTTTTTGTCTTTCAAAACATGTTCGCGCAAGGTGTTGGCCCACCCCGCTTGGACTACGTTTTGCATTTTGGAGACCAAGAGTGAAACAAAGGATGGAAGATATGTTCATGATGGCCAAACTTCCGCATGCCAATTTTGCCCTTGTGGTTTTGTACCTCACCTTTACATCGCGCTGATGCTGAAAGTGACAGGAAGAGGTTCGGAGGGCCTCTTTTGGCACGTCCTTGCAACGGGGATCTCCTTGGGCATGGGGCTTGTCGAGCATCGGATGCCTAGGGATAACCTGGGCATTTAGGCCAGTTTGGTTGAAAACAAACGGAGTTTGGCTTTAATCTTCACTCAGGTAGAGACAATCTGTCTCCCCGGGGATGATATTGCTTGACTTGGACATTTGTGCCAGCTACGTCCACGTCCATTTGTCCTTTAGACGTTTCTGTGCGGAAGGATCGCGCATCGCACATTTCAGGTTGCCTGTATAGGGTTTTCTGTATCCGCAGTTGCAAGGATCCTAAGGTGGGCATGGGAATCCTTTTTTCAGGTGATTTGTCCAGACAAATGGTTCGTTCTCTTTGAGCTTTCGATTGAACATCAAAGGGACGTCCCCAATTGACTTTCGGTCACTACGATCAGGTGTGTCAAAATAGGAGGACCTTTTGGTTTCTCTTTAAGCCAACCTGAAAAGGTCCCCTCAGAACACACATGTGGGGAGCCTCCATATGTGTCCTCCTCGAAACAACTGCGCAGAGGGCTACCCTCAAACAATCACACACTGCCATATGGCCTGGCGGATCCATAATGAGAGGATTCATGAATATCCCGGTGTGAACGTTCTCCAAGTACAAGGACAACTCAATAAATAATTGGCAATGAATGGGGGATGTCTTGTTGTTTTCGAGAGTATCAAACTTGGCATTCCCTGCGCTTCCAAACACAACCGAGAGGAAACTCTCTGCGGGAGACGTAGTTGGCACCGCTTAGGACCCCCTACATTTGCGGCTTTGGGTTCTCGGGGTTTGAAGGGAGTCTTCCCGATGTAAACCCACGGGAATCCCGCTATTTCCACATACCCCAAAGTGGTGGACATGAGGTCGACCCATGACACTCCCTCAGGCTAACAGCATCCGAGGGACTTTCATGGAATCGCCTAAGGGAGTGAGATATGCAACTTGCCCAACAGTGGTGGACGCCCACCAAGGGGTCGACCCATCAATATGCCCCACCGAAGATATCCCCACTTAAGTCGCTTTAATGTCCAAACGGTCGACCCATAGACATGGGTGTCCTTTTTAGGTTAGTGTGGTCCAAAATTGGAAAGCACTGGTTTAGATGTGTTTTTTTCTTCCATTTACCAGGGAAACCCATCGATTTTTCCAAAAAGGACACCTGTGGCAAGAGGGGTGTCTTTTTTGTGAGGCCCTTTGAGGTGTGGTTTTCCAGCGAATCAACGAATCAATGTGCCCCACCGAATACCCCCCCACTTAGGTCGCTAGAAAACAGAGATGTCCAAGGGGTCGACCCACCGCTGCCCCACGCCGAGTCTCCCCAACTGCGTCAGACGTCAGACTTCGGCCTGAGGTCTCGGCCGCGAGGCCAGCCATGAGCCCAGGTACTGGCGCGTCGCCCCTCGGCCGGGGGAAGAAGAAGAAAAACCGGGCGGAGAGTCGAGCCTCCTTCAGCACTTGGCTTCCCCAGAACTAGCCCCCCCATTTTTTTATATCCTTTTTTAATTCCAAATTCCAGAACTAGGGTCCATTTAATTCCAGCCTAGTTAGCAGATGGAACCTGACAGGGGGGTTCTTGTTAGACTGACAGTTGTGAGTCCATGGAAAACTGATGGATTTTCACTGGCAGCTTGGTTTTTGATTATTTAGCCTCCCACCAATTAACACACATGGAGCCGTTCGACGTTTCGGGGGTTCCTGGCTTGGGCCATTTTGCGTTTAAAGGGTCCGGGTCAAAAGCACCTCAGGCTCCATGTGAATTGGCGGGAGGGTAAATCTTACATTTGTTGTTCAGGATTCGGACACGGGCATGGGGATCGAGGACTCTTGTTTTTGTTGTTGTTGGAACCTCTCTGATTTGTGTGAACGTGGCGTGTATAATGTGGTTGAACTCTTCAACCTTGTGCTGTTGGTTGGGAAGTCGTGTATTTGGTTGCTCCGCGAACCGGAAAAAGGCGAAACCATTTGTGCATATTTTTCCCCCTTCTATCATGTCCCCGTCAAACATGGCAAGCTCAAACAGAGTGTCCTTTCTCTTCCAGGATGAGTGGGATGCCTTGTTGGCTTTAAGAGTATTTCGTATGGCTTTCTAGAAAGAGGCTTGTTTGGAAAGGAACACTCTTATCCGTTTTGTGGGTTCCATGTCCCATTTCGAAACAAACCCATGCGAGGGAGGATTTGAGGCAATCACACGGATCCTAAGGTCTTCGCACAACACTCATCAAGCTTCTGAACTGAGAAAAAAACACGAGAAAACCAGCAACACAAAAAAACCAACCAACCCACAGACTCTTGTCCAGAGTTGGGGTCTTCCTACCACGGTTTGGGGCGACGTGGCATCTCTCTGGGCAAAGCCAGGCCTGGCGGAGCCACATGTTCGAGAACGTGCTGAAGGCGAGGGATTCGCGCAAATGGGCGGCTCGTCGATTTTTGTTTGAGTTGGCACCCTTTTTTCGTGGTTGGCGTTTGACGGGAAACCAAAAGGAAAACCAAAGCCACTTTGGGGGAAACCCAGAAATGGGGTAGCCAACCTTTAAGGGTACCCTCCCAGATGATCCGTTTTTGACCACAAACCGGGTTTGGCGCACCGATCACCTTAAGATTAGATATGTTTTTGGACAGGGCCGCGTGCATTTCCATGTTTGCTGGGAGGGCAGCTTTTGTTTGCAAACGGAGCTGTGTTGAGACGACCCCGTAGGGCGAGCTAATCGATCGGGGCAAGCTGACAATGTCGGGCCCTTCCTCGCTGGAACTGGCGAACCTATCAGGTGAACTGGTTATCAGGTGGACTGGTTGCACCAAATCGGCACAAGCCGACGAACGCCAAATTGGTCCCCGGCCGCGAAAGCTTGAGGCGCCCGAAAGCCAGGAGATGCACGACGTGCGCTACGCCCTGTCCAGCCTGGAGAGGCTGCTGGCGCAGCGGGGCAACGACGGGGCGGACAAGGCTGGGGCAGACTGGGCCCAGGGCCTTTCCTTGTGACCGCCCAAATCGCTGGGCGTCTTTAGTCCCTTCAAGCTCTTAAAGGAGGGCATGGATGGTTGTCCTTTTCAAGCTCATCGGAATTCGGTTTGACCCCTTCTCCGCCCGTTTGGCTGCTCCAAAAGTGCACGACGCCCTGCATTGGCCGCTCCGAGGTGCGCTACTTCCAGCAGGTGCTGAAGTCCGAGAGTATGACGGAGCCATCGCCTCGGAGCTGTCGTTTTCGGCGTATCTCCCCGTGGTGAGAGGGGTGTGTGGTTCAGCAAGGGGTCCCCTATATTTTCCCATGGGCCAACAAGGAGATGTTGAAAGCCACCAAGAAAAGGGGAAAAGAGGTAAACCTTGTTCGTGTGGGGCGCGCGTGCCCAAGAACCCCTCAAGTTGCTGCCAACCTGCAGTACCCACATCGCAGATACTTGACGCCGATTAAATTATGCTGGCATCTCTCAATGACTGATTCTGGCCGGTATGCCCATACTTTAGAGCCTCCGGCTCAGTCCGCCGACATTGTCCTCTCCCTTTTCTCCTTCTTCCTCTCTTCCTTGTCTCCCTTGTGTGTTCTGTCGTCCTCTCTCCCTCCCTCTGCTCCCATCCTCCCCATCCCCCCAAGCCTCTCTCTCCCCACTCTCCCTCTCTCGTATGTATGCATGCATGTACATATGTATGTATGTATGTATGTATGTATGTATGTATGTATGTATGTATGTATGTAATGTATGTATGTATGTATGTATGTATGTATGTATGTATGTATGTATGTATGTATGTATGTATGTATGTATGTATGTATGTATGTAATGTATGCATGCATGTACATATGTATGTATGTATGTAATGTAATGTTGGGCTAAAGCGTTAACCGCAGGTGGTCGCTTGTCTTGACTCTTAATAAGTATCCACTTGGGCCACCATTTTGGCTCAAGTGGACTTCTGACCTTCTGTCTTGTAATCTGAAATCTTTCTTTCCCCTCCTATCAAAGCCATGTACGCCCCCGCCTACGCTGGTGCCGCGGTTGCAGAGGCCAAGGCGAAGGCAAAGGCCTCCATGGCGAAGTACCTGGCAAGCCTCGTGAAGAAGGAGGAAGAAGGATGGACCGTCCTGGCTGCTGAGGTCCCTCAGGCACCGGACGAGCGGTTCTTCTCCAGCGCCGATGAGCTGGAGCAGGCCCCCCTCATCCCAGCCAAGCGCAAGGCTGAGGATGAGCTGATGGCAGACTCAGCCCCTGGGGTGGCGCAGGTGCCGAAGGCCCTGACACGCCCCCCAGGGGCGTTCCTGGAGCTCCTAAACCCGCCGGAGAAGGATGTTCCCATGGAGGAGCTCCTGGCGGAGGACGAGGAGGAGCTCCCGATGTCCGACACCAAGTGGCAGAGACGCCGTGATCTGATGGCGAAGGTCAGGGAGCAGGCGTCCTCGGAGGAGGATGAGGACCCCGCAGCCCCCCCGCCGGGGGGAAGCGTCTTCACCAAGGCCCTCAAAGTCTCTGAGGGCCTCTACCAATTCAGCGAGGACCAGATGGCGGGAGACTTCCCGTGTTTTGATGCGACCACGGCCACTAGGCTCCGCCGACTGCAGGCCAAGGACGTCCAGCGGCTCCTGAGAGGCTTTGAGGGCCCCCAACTCAAGCAGGGGGGCCTGGAGCGTGTGGTGGAGGCGTTCTACATCGCCAAGATGAAGTATGAGCATGAGGCCCGGCTCAGCACCCCGGGACAGCAGGTCGGCAAGCGCGCTGGCCTGGGGTATGGGGGCCTGGAGAACCGCCCCCTGGGTAAGGAGCCCACATCCTGGATCTGCCCCTGCTGCACCATGCCCTGGGTGAAGAAGGGCGCCAGGAAGTGTATGGGGTGCGGCAAGAAGACGGAGCCCATTGACACGGCGACCAACTTGGCCACCCTGGAAATGGCGGGCACGCACTGGCAGCTGACAGTGGATGACCAGGGCAATGCGGTCTGGACGGCGGCCCGGTCCGCAGGTGCCGAAGGCCCTGATACGGACCGGGCCCGCGACCTCAAGCTCAGCGCCTCGGTGGATGTCAGCGAGCTGGCCACCGACCCGATGGCATGCGAGAACCCGGACCAGGCCAGCTTCTCGGACTTTGTCCCCTCCTTGGTCCGGGCGGTGATCAGGAACTGCCCCATGGAGCTGGACGAGGATTTCCTGACGGCCCCAATGGGGGAGAGGCCTCCATTGCCGGGTGACAAGGAAGAGGGCCAGGAATGCAGGGCCTTCCACCCGTCGGCGGTGAAGGCTTTCAAAATCCAGACCCGGCTCAACGCCACCACCATTGCCCAGGAGGAGGCCAAGAAGGCAGACCAGGTGGCAGCGGTGGAGCGATCCGCGGCGGTCCTCCACGAGCTTCAAGGGGGGGCCATTGACGGAGGAGGCGATGGGGGCCTACTCCTCAAGAATTTGGACTTGGACCTTTTCCGCGAAAAACTGCTGGATAAGCTGGGCGCGGACTGGGGGAGGCCCACACCGGAGCTCCTCCAGGCCCAGACCACTGCGGAGGAGGCGAAGGCAAAGCACCAGGCCAGACAAGCGAAGGGCGCCCACGAGACCAGAATGCTCGAGCCCATCAAGCCTCCATTCAGTGCGTGGCCTAACGAGGTCCGAGTTGCCATTGAGACGGGGGTCTTTGAGCCGACCACGGCATGGAGGGACTTCAGCATGGACGACCTCACGTCCCTCACGGACTCTTACCTCGAAGCCAAGGCGGTCATCTCGCTGGGTAGGAACCCCTTTCCGGCGGCCCTCCTGGCAGATCTGCCGGATCTGGCAGGGATCCCCATTCCAAAGGCGGGGGGCTCTGGTGCGGCGCGCCCAGGTGCCGAGGGCCCTGACAGGCAGCCCACCATCCCCCCAGCCTCGGGCTCTGGCGCGACGAGCTCAGGTGCCGAGGGCCCTGACAAGCCGTCCGCCACCCCAGGGGGCCTGGATACCCAGGACCCGGAGGTGCAGCTCGCGGTCCTGCGCTGGATGATGAGCAAAACGGGTCGGAGAGGTCCGTATCTTTGCGGGCCGCTGGGTCCGACGACCGGGCCCCGTACACGTCCCGGACTGGGCCAACAACCTCACCAAGGTGAATCCGGAGGCGCTGGAGAAGGGTACGCATCCCAGGAACCACCAGGTGGGTGGACTCCCATGGGCCAGGTACTCCGTTGATGAGTTGAACCAGCAGGCTAAGGCGGGGGACCGACCCTACCCCGAGGACCTGCGATCCATCTTCTGGGCGGCCCCCCACGATCCGGATGAGGACTTCCACTGGGCGCGCCAGATCTCGTCCTGGACACTTCCAGGCTTACTGGGGATGTTTGGTCACAGCTTCACCCTGCGCCAGCTCTGGGAGTCTGGGAGTCCCTGCCACTGCTTCAGGGCCCTAGGCAGCGGGGCCCGAAGAACAAGGCCCAGAATCAGATCCGCCTGGAGGGCTGGGAGACCCTGAAGGAAGACGCGCGGTGCTTCCTGAAGGAGGAGGGCCTTCCGTTTCCGCAGACAGGACCGGAGTGGCGCCTGGTCTACCGGGCCATGGGCAAGGTCCTTGTGGCCCGGGCCTTCCTCACGGACACCCCGGCGGAGGTAATGCAGCTCCCGGTCCAGGACGTGGCGGACTCCAAGGAACAGATGATCCTCCGGGCGGTATGTGATGAGCGCATATCTGTCCCAGTGGAGAGTCTCCAGCAGTTCCCAGAGGTGTACCAGGCCCTCATGGACCGCATTGGAGGCCCGGGGGCCCTGGCGGAGGTGAAAGTCAACTGGCGCTGCAACACGAAGCAGTGGTGGGTCGGCGCAGTCCCCGACTCACAAGCTCGGCTACACCAACGACATGATCAAGCTGATGGGCCTGGACCCCTCCGCCCCCGGGTGCCGGACAGGTGCCGATGGCCCTGACATCCGCCCCAGGGGAGGAGAGGGCGATGAGGGGATCGTCTACCCCCCCATCACATCGGACAACGTCCACGGCGTGGTGGGCAAGGACTACCGGAAGAAGAACTATCCGGCGGAGACGCAGCATGTCTTCTGGGCGCACATGGAGTGTGGCCTGGTCCTGAGCTCCGTCATGTCGTGGGAACTCATCCCGAAGACAAAAGGGGAGACCCGGGGAGGCTACATGTGCAAGTACTGCAAGGGGTACTGGCGCGCCGGGGGAGGGGGCACCCGCCTCCTCCAGATCCGGGCCGGCAAGGCCATCCTTCAGCTGGTGCTGGACGAGCCGCCGGATGGCCTCTACAACCGCTGGGTCAAGGAGCGGTTGGAGTACTACCGCCGGGTAGAGCCCTCGGCCCCGCTGCGGGATGTCTCCGTGGTGGACCAGAGAGTCCCCCGGTTTAGGTTCAGCCACACCACCCAGACCGGCCATGTCTCAAACGCCATCTGGGAGCTGATTCTCCGGAATCCGGAGGCGGCGGCGCTCAAGCGCATTGACGACATTGCAAAGGGGGCCGTATGATCATACAGCACTGCGGCCATCCGGAACGGATTCGCAGCGCACCCCGGGGGGGGACAGCTGCCGAGGGCGCTGATATCCCCCCCCTGGGCACAGCACAGGCCTAGACCTGTACCAGGCGAGGAAAATTGGCGCGCTTGGGCTGGTCCGGGGTGCGCCTTGGCTGCCCTCCCTTGTTTGGTTTTTCCCTTTCCGGGGCGGCTCCCTGGGTCCCCCCCTTTCTTTCCCCGTTTCCCCCGTTTCGGGGTTGGCTTTCCGGGGTTTTGGGGGCTCCCCTGTTGTTTGGTTGGGGTTTGCGCCTAGGGATTTGGCTCCTGGCTCGAGTGGATCATGATGATGTGGAGGCCCCGCCTCCCTTCCCCGTTTGGAACGACCTTCCTAGGGGTACCAACCGCGTTCCAGTTGATTTTGCATGACCTTGGATTTGCACCAGTGCAGTCGGACGGGGAAATCCTCGTGGCGTGCTGCCTGGAATGGGTCAAAAAGGACAAGGTCGCCAACCCGGATGCGGTGGACTTTGACCCGCGGCCGTGGACACGGATCGTGGGGCTGGCACCTGACGGCAACCACGTCCTGGTGGCCTCGGACACCTACAACTTGATCCTCGCGAGGATGCTCGGCTCCCAACCACAACCGCTGGAGGA